TATCTATCTCTCTTGTTCTCTCTCTCTCCCTCTCCCTCATCTCAATGCTATCTCTTGTTCTCTCTCTCCCTCCCTCTCTCCCTCTCTCTCTCTCCCTCTTTTATCTCTCCCTCTCTTTTATCTCTCCCTCTCCCTCTCTTTTCTCTCCCTCAATCTCTCTCTTCCTATCTTGCTCTAACCCAAAGTCACAATCAACAAATTAGATCTACCCTAAACTAAAATAACACTTAATAAAAAAAAAATTTAGATCTACCCAAATGATTACAACATTACCTCTTGCATATGTCTAAATTACTACCTAAATCATCCAAAATATTAAAAACTCTTGCAAATGTCTAGTGATAACAAATAATCAAAGATAAACGATAAAAATTACCTTAAAATACTGATTTCTGTTCAACTCACACGAAATCTAGGGTTGCTGGCGGCGTGAGATCCGGAGTGAGATCGACGGCGGTCGGAGTTTGGAGATACGGCGTCGGCAGTCGGTGAAGGGTCGGCGGTCAGAGATGCTACGTCGGCGGCGACAAACGGAAGTCGATCGTGAGCAAAGGCGACGGCAGCGACCGAAACGAGAGAGAGAAGGAAAGAATATAAATGAAATGCGAGGTGCGGGTCTGTTCGTATTAGGGCATTTACCGGCGGTATTCCGGCGGTTCTGACCGCCGGTAAAAAATGACTTATTAACGGCGGTCCAGCCGCCGTTAAACCGCCGATTAATATTGACGTCCGGCGGTTTGCCGGCGGTTTATGGACCGTCGCTAGTACCGGCGGCTTAACGTAACAAACTCATCGGTTAGGCCGCCATTAAAAGCCGCCAGTCAAACCGCCGGTAACATCGGCGGTCCATAAACCGCCAGTAATAGGCATTTTTTCTATAGTGAGCCCCCTAACAGCCTCTGCCCGCCGGCCTCCCTACCCCGTCCCTAGCCCAGCCCCTTGTCTTGGCCGCCGGCTTCCCCCTTCCCCCTCCATTGAATTTCAAATTTTGAAATTCCAATTGTTTTCATGAGGCCTTGAATGCTTTCCAAATTTAGCTCCTTGATTTAAGGCTTCCATATTGATTGGATCTAAATTTGAATGATCAATTCAAATTATTTCTAATGAGAGCCTCAAATTTTGGTAAATTTCCCTATCATAAAATCTGAGAATTAATTCAAATTTTTGACTTTCCTAAAATAGTTCCTTGATTTTAGGAAATCATCTTAATTGAATTTCAATTCAAATTAGAAATTCAAATCTTCCCCAATTGATTACTCATCTATTTGGAAACTTTCCTATTTTACAAAATCTGAGAATCAATTCAGATTTTTTTCAAATATTAGATTAGTAACATGGGCCCCACGTACTTATGATTTCTAAATCCTATTCCCCTCTCTAGGTGGCCGGTCATTCACTGGGCTCCATCTCTCTCATAGGCTATTAATTGCTACCCAATTTCCTCCTTGATTTCTCTTAAACCACCGGCCCATTATGGGATGGTTGCTGCTCAGATTTTCTGAGTATAATGTTCCTGTCCAGAACAAAAATCAGCCGTAAAAGCAGCTGACCTGCTGCCCACAAATCCTGGTTGCTTCCCAACGGCATCCGGAAGAATTCCAACGAGGGAAACTTGAATTCCTGCCTCCTAAAACCTTCAAACTGCTGGCCGCTCTTCTGCAACTTGCTGTCCACTGATTCTACAAATCTCCTAGCACCATACCTTCATCCGGAAGGTTCCAATTGAGGTCCAGAATTTGTCCAAATCAAAAACTGCTGTTTTCTTGAAGATACACACCTTGTCTTGGCTAATCGGTGGTGCGAACAAGCTCATGGTGGCTGTCCTAGTCGTCCCCAACACTCGAACCATCCTGCTGGAGTGCGTATTTCTCTTGTCTTTGGGTAAACTGATGCGGACATCCAACCGTCCATGGCTATCCGAGGAGCAGAAGATCAACGGCTATCATCGTCCCACGTTATCTTATATTTTATTTGTAATTTTTAAATCTTTATTATGAATTTTTCGTTTTTACCCTCACTTAAGAGGATCGTCCTATGTAAGCCTTAGGGGCATATGTGTCTTGTTTTAGTCTCCACCCCCCCCAGCCCGCCGCCCTCCAGGCCACTGCCTCCCGCCGGCCAGCCACCTTCCACACCGTGGCCGCCCCTTTCCTCCCTCCTCTAGCCGCCGGCTTCCCTCTCCTTGAATTTCAAAATTTGAAATTCAAATGTTTTATGGGCCATTAATTGTTTCCTAAAGTAGCTCCTTAATTTACGCCATCAATTTAATTGATTTTAATTTCAAATTTGAAATTCAAATTGCTTAAATTAATTGCCCTCCTAAATGGAAGTTTTCTTTCCTTAAGAAAACAGAAAATTTATTTCAGATTTTCGTAAAAATCTGAAATTAAATTGGTGGTCCCCACTTATTCCAAAACTCACCCCTCTCTCCTCCTTATGTGGTCGACCCCCTCATTGGGCATAATCTCTCTCCTATCTCATTAATAGGCCCCCTCATTAAGCCTCCATAATTACCTCCCACAATTTCCTCTCATCCTATTTAATTCTCCCCATTAAATTTGAGTTTAAATTCAAATTCATCCCGCCAATTCCACTTAATCTGAAATTTAATTTCAGATTTCCATTCTCTCTCCCCAAATTGATTTGGGATTTAATTAATCTTGCCACGTAGGCAAGTAAATGACATTTACGTTTCACATCATAAACTCAATATCCGATTAGCTATCTTCATAGTTACATCCTTGATTGTGGTTATTATTATAGTCATGAAGATAATGTCAATACTTCTCCACTAATGCCTAGAAATTGAAAGAGTTGAGTGAAGGAACCCATGCATAGTGCCTAATCTCATTGTTAATTTAGGGATTTACGTTGAACCATTCATGTATGCAATGTTAGATTAAATTGACTGTTTTCTGACCTTAAATTTTTATGCACGTGATTCGGCCTAAGCTCGTCTTATCGCTCTTAGAGTTTTATTGCGACGTTTAAATTCAATGCAAAGATATAATTATTGTGCTCTAAAAATTTAAGCGTGCAAATTCATTATGAAATTCATCCTCGCATGTACGTTCCACATCAAAAACATTATAGGTTCTCTCACGATGTCACCTTTCCCTTTTGATGGCCTTCATATTGAATTGGACTAACTACATTTTTAGTGTATCTTCTATTATACGTGCTAAAATCAACTATGTTTGTTTTGTGCAACCTTTTACTTAATAGTATCTACTCCAACTAACCCAACGACCTCCAAATGATATTATTTTACACACTATTTTACTGAATTTACCACACATCGATCCTCACATTCACTAAATTATACAATGACATTTTTTAAGAAAATAGAGGTGGTAATATTATTTGCAGTACCAACTCATTTGAGTTTTGAATCAATTTGAAATTGGCTAAAGAATTTTTAAGTTGAGTCTCAATCCTAACCTCCTGGTTTACAACCGTTTTCATGCTGTGTTCGAGCTTCAGTTCAAGTAACCCAAATCCTTACTGCATGTAAAAAATTTTCTTTACTATGCTCTTATCCATTAGTTGGCCCACTGTTTAACGAGACTTTTGAGATTTATGCTAACTTTTTTATTTAGCACATTATTATTTGCATATTAATTACAAATGTTTGCCTAATTAGTGAATGCATAATTCAACAATAGACAAGTTTTTAAGCCTACTATAGATGAATTTAAGGTGGCCCGTATCGAGCGCTTTCAGGTTGAGCCAGTTCAACTATCATGGGATCTATGGAGTCAGGGCTGGCTGACTTGACATTGGCCACCCCTGTACAACACCCATTTCCAAGAACATTTCTTTTGTTTCTGCTTACTATTCTTGTGAAAATCTACAGCCCTAAATGAAAATACTAAAATACTGCTTCAATGCTTTTGTTAGATTGAACATGGAAATAAAATAAGCGAATGGAGACAACAAGCATATCCACTAAACAATTCTATGTAAGCAAAATATGGAAAGCATGTCTTACAAAATATAATAGAAGAAAAAAAGCTAAAGAAATAACAGGAGCACGAACCTAAAGTCCCTTGTAGCTTTGAATAACCAATATGTACTTTCTATCAACTCTGGTCGCAGTGGATAGCTTCTCTGACCAGACTGAAGCAAGCCATGGTTAACCAAAGTGGCAATACACAATAAAAATAATCTGGTTCACAAAACAAGACAGAATTTCTACTTTATGGATTTAAATTTATAAGAAATTCTATAAAATCTGGAGTTCATTAGTGGACTTGCAATGCCTGCACATTGTTCTCGCAAGCACAACTGCAAGAGGACATAAGCTCATGCTCTCCCATTAATAGCCAGTTGACAACTAATAATTTAGTAAAAGATAGTTCTCAAAGTGAACAAATTTAGAGCTCGTCTTTCCTGGATGAAAATTTTGGTGAGCCATGGAAAGAGAAACATGAAAACAGAACTCCTAGAAGTGACTTTTAAGTTGGTCCCAAACTTTTTCTAAATAATATTATCAAAATTATCCCAATCAATATGGAATGACTTCAAAAAACATGTCCACCAAACAAACAAAAGAACAGTATTTTGCCAGTGTTTTAATTTCAAACAAGGTAAACCAAACTATTTTCTAAGATATAAACGAAATAGCAATAAAATACGTACCTGAATACTGAATGAAGCAAGATTGAATCCCTCTGGAGTGAATCCGTATCTCTTCCATACGCTAAAGAAAGCAGCATGCGTTCGTATCGCAGGAGCAATATCACCATACAAAACCTTAAAAAACAAGAAGATAAAATATTTCTGAAAGAAATCAAGCGTGTGATCTTTAGAAAAACAGTGAATGAAACCTGAAGCCCAGGCCAGAACGCCTGCAAGCTGTTAAACAATGGCCAAACAGTGACAGCAGAGTTCATATTCACTTCAACATACCTAAAAAGCATTTTGTTGACTTCAAAATTCAGAATAAAATAAAAGACAAACTAAAAGCTACTAAAGATCATTTCAAACGATTTTTTAAAATAAATATAGCAGATGACAGTACCAAGGATCATGATACAGATAATGCATAGCAGCCTTGTAAGCTTCCTGGAACATAAACAGGTACTCATCATCCCCAAATAACAAATAAGCCTGTAATACACCAAAATTTTAATTTTATGAAGATTATGATATCAAAGGACAGAATAAGGTACGCCAATCTTTATTTTGACGAAAGAATTGAGCTATTTTCAAAAAAAAAAACTCAAAAATAATCTAAGCCTTAAAGAACAAAATATGATTTCCAAGAAACGGCAAGTCAACGAGCATTAAAATGAGCATAAAAGGTACTATCAAGAAGCTTATTAGTTATCAGAACAAACCCTATCGAGCTTATTAGCCAGCAGTCTATTGAGCATTAAAATGAGACTTTAATTAAGTGAACTGCTAAATAAACAAGCATTTTAACCAGCATAAATAAGTGGCTTGTATTAAAAAAAAAGTAAGCTAATATAAAAAAATAGACTCCCACATAATCACATATTAAATAAATTAATAATCAATTCTTAAATGTACTGTGGGCTCCGAAAATTCGGCCCCGGCCTCCCCGCCGCGCGACTGTTTGTTTGCTTTTTCTTTGGCGAGGGAGTTTTTAACGGATTTAGTTACGGGGTAAATTTTGGAAGGCAGATGGGTTTGTAGATAAAGACACTACCCAGAGATTTCGCCCTCACTTTACGATCTAAGTTCAGGTTTCCTATAGGCGCAAGCCCCTATAGTTAATTACCCCTCCCGATCACGAGAGAGAACTTTCGATTAAGGCTAGTCGTCAATCAGATAGGTAGAGATACAAATATCTGGCATATAGTAGCATCATAGGTTTGGGAATTGAAAAGTTTGTAGGTTTGATACTTAAAAATAGAAATTTTCACCATCTTGCACTTAAAACGGATGGTGGGGGAATTGATGATGGACCCGATCAAGATCCCATGGTTCCGTCATCCCGGGTCATCGTGGACCCTGGTCTACTTAGTCAGAGGAGGTAGTCGACCCAACCTGACAAAAGGATCCTTGTCGTCAGCCATGGGTTGCTTCGTCCAAGGGGACCTTGTAGACCTGGGGTGAATATTTGTCTAAAGGGACAAATTTGAATCCACCTTAGCTAACAGAGGGCTTTGTGCCCTATCGATCATATCCTATTAATTCATATCTCAAGGATTTGATACCAATAATGAGCATATTGGCTCTGGCCATAACCGGTATTTCGTGATGCCATTTGGCGACAAAACCACTCAGTTCAGAGGGTCCCAGGTCATAACCGTTTATCCTGCGGCGCCATTTGGCGGCAGACCGCCGGTTAGAGGACACGTACCACGTTCTTATTGGCAGGAGATTGTTTGAGAATGGATCCTAGTGATATTTTTTACTAGGCATTAAGCTCTTTGTGAGCTGAAGTTATATTTGAATTTGTCCACCTCGGCAAACTATTGCGGAGGGTGGATGGATTTTGTTTTAAGTATTTTGATGAATTTATTTCAATTTTAAATATTTAAGATTTTGGGATTTTCTGATATTTTGGATTTTTATGGGTATTTGGGTAGAGCTTGGAATTATTTGAAATGGACCCCTCCGGTTAATATTTGCATTTAATACGGCCATCATCGGGGTGTTTGGGGTCGTTTCTATTTGTGGGTTGAACCTTGTTGACCCTATTAACTCGCTGATAGAGGATTGGGTTTCGTAGGCTTTGTGCCCTTTGTTGAATGAATTTCTTTTGTTAAAGGACTTGAAGGCCTAATATGAATGTATAAGATAAATATTATGGTCGACGTCGCGACCACATATTTATCCAATGATTTGAACCCTATCCACTCCTATTTACATGCTTAGGAGGATCGGCTTTCATAGGCTTTGTGCCTTTTTTAATGAATTCTTGTGATCGTAGGCCTTGAAGGCATCATATGAATGCATTAAAACAAATACACCGGTCGCCACAACCGTGTATTTGTTTGAATGCTCAAACCCTGTCGACTCCTATTGATCCGCATAGGAGGATTAGATTCGAAATTTGAATTCACTTATTAACCCGCGCAGCATCCCTAGGCGTCACGTGTGTACCAATGACACGCTCGCCGGGGCCCATGCGGGTGTTTTGGGACATTTTATAATTAAACCCTGTCGACTCCATTTTATCTGCTTAGGAGGATCGAGTTTAAATTTAATAACCCACGCAGCATCCCTAGACGTCACGTGTGTACCAATAACACGCTCGTCGGGGACCATGCGGATGATTTTTATATACCCCTTTAGTGTCACTATGTGTATACAAATTATGGTTCACGTGCAGGGGTATTGAAATATTTATAGTTGTGCATGTAGCTGTCAATTGAATGCATACAACATTTTATTTGAGAGCTTATACACGCCTTTTGTCCGCTAGTACGAGTATTGCGGATCCGTTGGTGGTGCGTTATAGATTGTAGACGCCTTCTGTCTGCTTGTATAAGTGTTGCAGATTTGATGGCGTTGTTATCTTGACGTTGACTCCCCTCTTCTCATTCACCGGGAAGAATTTCTTTGAAGTTCGTGACCATTGCTTTGGAAAGAACTCCCTCCAGAGTCTTTAGTGTAGTAGGCTTGTTATTTCTGATATTTGTGGATGCCAGTATTATTTCCTTCCTAAGTATAGGATTGAGAAGGAATTTTGGGACACCAGTAAGTTAGTTCGAATTTGTTCAAACTTTCTTTCTGTTCTATCAGGAAGTGTCCTTTTTCATACATCGAGTTGCCCTTGTACCCGACGTACTTGTAGATCTTAATCACCATTGTCATAGGTGATATCTGTACTCGTGTCCACAATGGTTCGTTGTACCTACGATATATCCACTGTTGTTATCCACGAGTATTCATTTGCAGGGAATCGTCGTATCCACTACGACCTCCTGGAAGTGTTTGTAGAAGAGCCATTGTTGCCTTCATCATATCCACCTTTCACCAATCTCAGGTGGTTTGATGATTGTACTTGTTCGTAGGGGACTAAATCATCCACTATTGATTGATAGTGTTGCCATCTCAATCTACAGGCAACATTGATTGTGTGTATTGAGGCTTTCAATAATGCATATAGGATACACATGCATTCTGCAAACATATATTGTCCTTGTAGGTGTGGCGCATTTGACCTCGCAGGAACTATTCATAGAAGTTTGTTGCACTCATCTTTCACGTGCACTGGGATTTCATCTCCCACTTGCAACTTGTTGTTAGCTTGGACGACCGTGCACTTAGACTTTGATTTGTTCATCTATCCAAAGCCCTAGTCCTATGTATTTCATCGGACCCGAGTTCAAGGTTCAACTCATGCTTGAGTCTTCTATGTCGTTATGAGTTCAACTCTTGGCATCCCATTCAAACTCAAATTCCTTGAGCCCCCTATTGTTTTTTAAAATTCAGGTTCTTTATTGTTCATGTCAGGTTTAAGCTCTATGTTCGGGTCCTTTACAATCTAACCCAAGTTCTCGCTTTAGTTCATTTAGGTCCAAGCTCAAATAAGATCCTTTATTGCTTGTATGATTTGAGTTCATTTGAGTACAAGTCCACGAGTCCTCTTGCATATGATTCAAGTTTGTTCTTTGTATATGTTTCTTTTGAATTCAAGTCCCGATTCAACTGCACAAGTTCAAGTGCTCAAGTCCACAAGTCCTTATATTCAATCCATTTTGAGTTCAAAGTGCATATTCAAGTTGATTTTGATTTCTGGTTCTGGTTTGATTTTATTTCATTTGATTTTTACCTTTAGAAATCATTCAGATTTTGTTCAGGTTCAAGTCCACGAGTCATTGTTCATCTGAGTCCAGGTTCTTATTCTTTTTTAGTTCAAACAGGTCCGAGTGCAATCGTATATTCACCATAATTTCAGCAGCCTCCCGGCGTCTCCCCCGTTTAGGGGAAAACTACGAGAAAATGGGTCTTCCCACCGCGCGCAATAAAGGCGTGTATGGGATCTTCGGTACCTGTTTAAAAAGACAGTTTGCTTTTCCCTCATTCGAGGGTACTTATGAGTGACTCCGCCTCGCCGTAAGTGCCGCATCGGGGTCCCATCCCACCACGCGCAATAAAGGCGTGTATAGGCAATTTTTCGGTGCGCCACGAATGCTGAAGTAGAGCTTAGGTGATTGCTCGCCTCGTCGTAGGCGTCGGACCGGGGTCCCATCCCACCACGCGCAATAAAGGCATGTATAGGTGGTTTTCCGGTCCGCCGCATACAACGAAAGCAAGAATCTGTGTTTAGAAGATCCGTACCTTCACGGTAGTGGAGGCTCATGGACCGAGGCAGGAGAAGGCAAGCAAGCAAACCCTTCTTTTTTGTGTTATTATTAATTATAATTAATAATAACACAAAAAAGAAGGGTTTGCTTGCTTGCCTTCTCCTGCCTCGGTCCATGAGCCTCCACTACCGTGAAGGTACGGATCTTCTAAACACAGATTCTTGCTTTCGTTGTATGCGGCGGACCGGAAAACCACCTATACATGCCTTTATTGCGCGTGGTGGGATGGGACCCCGGTCCGACGCCTACGACGAGGCGAGCAATCACCTAAGCTCTACTTCAGCATTCGTGGCGCACCGAAAAATTGCCTATACACGCCTTTATTGCGAGCGAGAGCGGCAGAGAGAGAGAGGGAACGATCGGGAGAGGAAAAATAGAGAGAGGCCGAAGGCCTCCTCTCTTCGGTCTTTGTAACGACGCCAGAGGGATCGTGCAGGCGACGTGGGGAGAGTGTCATGGTCGCGTCCGAGACGTGCAACGTGTGAGAAGCAGAGAGTAGGTGAGGTATTTTCTTTTTCTTTTTTTTTTTTTTTTTGGTTTTAACGTTACAGGTCAACATGTACAAATTATTAAGTTTTAATCGAGCTTTTTAATGAACTTGTTTATGAGCTTTAAATGATATTGCTCGTGTCATAAATGAATCGAACACCAAATTGTTCAAACTTGTTTGTTTATCAATCAAAACATATTCAAACATGTTTGATTAGTTAGTTAAACAATCATAAGCAAACCATAAGTAAATCAAGACACAACCTTGCATGGGTGTTGGTTCATTTGCTTCCTTAAATCAAACCAACAAAATGCACACCCTTAGCATGGATACACATCGATGCATTGGGATGTGCATTTGACCAGTCCAGATGAATTGGTTGATGGATTTGTTAAACCAATTAAACCAAAACAAGTTATAGGCTGAATTGAATCGGCCAAATAATAAGTAGAACTAAACAAGAGTGACTTCCAAAAAAAAAAAAACTAAACCAAATTGAATCGCAGTATAGTTCAACTTATTCGGTTTAGTTTTGACACAATCAAAATTTAAAATCTTAATAAAGGGGTGTGCATTCGATCAGTTTGGATGGATAGATTAACTGATTTATTAAACCAATTGAACCGAATCAAATTATATGCAAAACAAAAATTATAGTAATACTATTATTATTTCATTATTTGCCTATTTATTCAATTTCATTTCGGTTTTATGTTCAACTAATAAAAGAAAAGAAAACAAAAAACAAACCAAATAATTGAAATTCAAATAGCCTTCACTCCCAAACAAAAAACAGAACCAAACCAACCAAATATACCTAATTCGGTTGGATATTTTGATTCAAATTAATGCACACCACTACCAATGCATATCACATATGTTATGCAGATATAAAAATTCTAAAAATAAACTAAAATTTGGATATGCAAACAAAATACTAAAATACAAACAACATGTGCTTGAAGTGCGTAAAATATGACGTCATATGAGCTAAAGGCTCGTTGATTTACTTGCTAGAAGAAAAAAACTTCACTATCATTAGATTGATAGTGACTCGTGGTTCAATTATAATAAGTTGCAATGCTTTGACTCTCTTTCTCCATGTGATTATGATTTATAATTTGTAAGGCATATAATTAATAGGCCATAATCTAATTGAATGTGCCCTGAATAAGTCTCGCATATAGAGAATATTCTCATTCCAATATACTAAACTTATTCCAATATGCTAAACCTTCATTAAGAAAATAACTACGTGGATACATAAGCATTCATTTATGCCAACATGCCACACACATCTTATCCTAGTCATATACATATTTTGTTGTATCCTTATCACATTCTGAAGATGCTTAATAGCTAAAAAATTTTACAAGAATGCTCTGTGATCCCAATCGGAGGATACCCTTGCAACAGAAAACAATAATAATAACTACTACTACTAACAACCATACACAACCCATGCCTTAGCAACCCCACCAGCATAAGATATAGCATGGAAAATATTTTTTACTTGCCTTTAAAAGGTACTCGTAGAAAGAATCAATGCTTGTACCAATACCAGCATCCTGCACAAACAAAATTACAATCAAATACATCAGTTACAACTTACAACCACAGTTAATGATCCTATGATGAGTGGTTACCTAAAAACATTATTTAATATTATATGTGGTTCCTAGCTTTTGCATAATTTTGAAGATAATTCAAAATTTCTTTTTTTAATCAAGTATTCATAAGACTACAACCTTCGATAGTTCGCAACCAAATTGCAAGAGCTGTGGTGACAGAACTGTGCAGCCTGTAGTGTAGTGACTTGGTTATGAAAGCCTTGTATTTCAAATATAAGAGAAATCAGCTTCACAAAGTTGATTGTTACACTAAGTTACGTAAGATTATGACTGTCAAGACAATTAGTAATTTCGACTTTTAAATGTCCGTGAGCATGTCTGTGCAAATGCTCATATGTATACTGAATCCATAACAACATAGCGTGCTTTCTGCCAAGTGGCCTACTCGTCATATATGGAATGGACTCTAGAAAGCAACAAAAAAGGATAACAAAGGTTCTAAGTTCTTCTTCTATATCAACAGGTTATGAAAAGAATGTTTTTGTCTTCTTTTTGGTAAAACATGATTGGAACTGTTGCAAGTTTTGCTTGAACCTAATACATTAAATATAGTAGGTTTGATATCAAAAGTGACGCCAGTGACAACCATTCGCCATCTCTAGCCCTCTCTTCCCTCTCTTTAACTTACCCCTTTGTTTCCTCAGACTCAAGACAATCCATACAGCCAAACATCCAAATTCGTTCACCATTCAATCTCACTGCCCTGTTCTCTCCACAAAGCATCTTTTAAAACTAGCCAAAGTATAAACGACTTAAAGTTTCTCCCATTTTAGAGGAAATGTTTAGGAGCAAAAAATATTGTAGGCTATATATATATATACCTACATAAACTTGTATGTTTGGATGTAAATTTTAGTTTGTCTTCATCTATGTTTCAAGCCCAGGTCCATCCTCAACTCTCAATCTCCTCACTAAATATCAACAACCCCAAATGTAATAAAAAGCATGAGGACTCACAGGATGCTACATAAACAAGTCAGCATAAGATTATTACCCATCATTTTTCCACTACGAATAAATATTTTGTGTTATATATTCTATTTGAATGTTCAGCTGCCACATGAACCACTTCTAAAAGTGACCTAAGCTAAATTTGCTACATTTAATATCTAAAAAATATTCATAAGTATCATACTCGGACAATTCGTTATTACCTTTTGGGTCCATTCACCCGAAAATACATTAATATGAGCACCAACAAGGTTTATTTTTGATCTCCTTGCCCAGATTCCTCTAACTGCATTCTTTGTCACTTGTTCAAAAACTGCATGATAGACCCATTATTAGCATTGCTCCATTAAACATATTATTTAGTCACTATACACAAAATTTCAGAACTGTTATCAAACAGAAGAAAAGGAGAAGCTTCCCAAGTCAATTGTGAGGATATATTTTCAGAAATAATTATTGAAGTACTGACTACAAAATGACAAAATAAAATGAAAATAACCTGAACTTCCCACATAAAAAATTGTCCATAGAAGAACGGATTGTAAATTGCATAACCGTTGGCCATTTCATATAGAATCACAATTTTAATGCAAATCATCACGTGCAAAATTCATGATTGAAAAGTAAGAGATATTAAGGCTTTGTTTGATTCTGCTTTCATGCCGCCTAACTTTTCAAAAAGTTAACCTGATCCGACGGCTTGGAGGGGTTGATGGTGATCCGACGGGTTGGGAGGGTGGAGAGGTTGTAGCCGGCGGGTATGGGAGGGGAAGGAGGAGGAAAAAGATAAAACAAAAGAAAAATCAAGAGCCTACCAAAGGGGTTGTTGGGTACTACGTTGGCCTATCCTAGGCTTCACCACTCTCTCAAAACTCATAAGTGGGAGATAGAAATCTGAAATTTAATTAATCATCATTCCCCTCGTACAAAGCAAAAGACCTCTATATATAGGCCTCAATAATAAAGAAAAATATAAAGACTCAAATGCCCTCGGGGCTACAATAAGAACTCGCTACCCATAGGGGAAACCTAGGAAAACTAAAATACAAAATAAATAAAACATAAAATACATCAAAAGTAAAGGCTCTGAATCGTAGCCGTCGATCTACGATTCCGTCGATGGTACACGTAAAAATCTCTGAATGATGTCCTCATCATCATGTGTATACTTGTGTGTTAAGGCATGGGTGGGAGTGTCAAAGAGATGGACTTCATTAGAATGAGATCGCTCAATCTTTTTCCAAAGAAGCTTTGAACTCCGCAAAGCCATAGAAGTGACCCTTCCTATTTTAATAAATTCAAAGCATTTAAAAAAAAAAAAGCAACCCTACTTAGAAGTTCTCTTTCTCTTCATTAGAAGTGCTTCAAAGCTTTTCAAAGCTTCAAGCATTTAATTACTGATGCAATCAACTAGATAGAAAAAAGCCAAGAGGGGAAAACACCAGGACTAGTAAGAACATTTCTCGATTCAAAACTTGGAATGCCAACATCAAATAAACTTCAAAACAAACAAAATCCAATCAAACGAAAAACTAAATTAAAAATAAAAACAATTACCCTTAGAACAACCGACTGGCGGTTTCCTCACATGCAACGAAATAGTAGGCAATATAAAAGATGTGCTAAAGGGTATGCAAACCAAGGGTCCACCACAACTACAAGGGTCAACGTCCACCAAAACTCCTCCGGCAAATGCTACCAAAATCAGCCAACCAACACCTCCAATAGCTCAAGAAGAAAGATACAAGTGGAGTGGAACTTGCAGAGAGAAGAAAGAGATAAGAAGCCCAAGATGAATTTGAAGAGGGGAAGAAAGAAATGGAACAAGCTCTCAAGGTTTTCCAAGAAGAAACCCTTTGGTTTTTTAAGAGAACTTAGCTCAACAATCAGCAACCTTTCATGCATCAAAACATCTCTTATGTATAGGTGAAAAGGGGCAGCCAAACAGCCAAAAATCACCTCCAACCGATCCAATCAGGACAGGGGAAATGGAAGGCCAGCAGGCGGTCAAGAAGCAGCACCCGAAGAGCCAAAAGGGGGACAGGAACGGGCGGCCAGGGGAACCGGAACAGGCAACAAAGGGAGAAGAACCAGCCATGGGACAGGCGCCAGGCGGGAGAAACCGAAGAGCCACAAGGAAGCAGAAAGAGCAAAAATCCACTCCACATAAAGCTTAAAATTAGGAGAACTTCCCATAGTAATGAGCTAAAAAAACAGCAGCTCAAGTATTTATGAGCTGAAACATAGCAGCCCCCAAGAACACAGCAAAAACCAATCAGCCAAGCCCAAACCGAGAAGCAACCAGCAACCCAAGAACCAAGGCACCAAAATAGCTAGCACAAACAAGGTTTGTCAAGCCCAAGCACTACCTACTCATGATCATTGAATATTTTCCATCATAGGGTAGCATAAAAAAATTAAAAAAAAAAACTATAGCATTCAAATTACAATAAAAAAAAAAAAAAAAAAAAAAAAAATAAAACATTAAAATTAAAAAAAAAAAAAAAAAAAAAAAACGGAAATTTGCATGCATCGATTACATGAACTATAGCACCTCTATGGATCTAATTTACACTCAGACAAATATTAGAGTTGCCTTGATTCAAGTTGAAACAATTTTGCCTCTCCTTATTTGGTTTTTTTTCCTAAACTCATTTGAAGATTTCCAAATAACCTCCAAAGGTGTTCAAGTGCATGCTAGCAACCCTTAAGACCATACCCTAAGTTCTCTTGATCTATTTATCAGATTCAAGCCAACAAATAATTCCTATCTCTCACATAGAATCTCAATCTTAGCATCTCATATTTGCTTAACTCAAATTAAGCAAAAAATACCTCAATCCTAGAAAACAAAAGTTTTAGTATCGCTTCTAAATTTTTAGTCCAAATACTAACTATCGTGTCTCTAAATTTTTAAATGTATTTATTTAGCTCAATTGAGCAAATATTCTGATTTTTACGACCCAAAAGTCATTAAACATTCCATAACCCTTAGCCTAATAGCTATAATTTAAATTACATTCTCCCTTGGCCCAGAAGCTACAAGGAATTCCATGATTAGTTTAGGCTTCAAGCTAAAGGCCAAAAATCATAATCTTCTTGCATTTAATTGAACCCAAATCAAAAAAATATCACAAAATATTTGACACAAAGCATATAACAATCTGTATCTCTTAACATCAAAAGCCATAAGATCTTTCATGTCTCTTTAGCATGAAAAGCAATCGGAACACTTTTCTTCATTTGTTTTCATCCAAAGTCGAGTAAACTAATTCATCTGCTAACTTTGGACCAAATCCTAATTACAATTGAACGATGAACTATGAATCGGAAAGATGAACCCCAAAATGAAACACTGAATGCTTCAAAAATTAAAGCTTGAAGACCCAAAGGCCTAGTTTGTAAATTCAATCGGCTTGTATGAAGCAGGAAACTTAACTGACTTTTTTTTTTTCAGATTGTAGAGAGGCCCCCATATTATTTTGCAGTTGATTTTTGTGATTGATTGCTTGTTTATTTTAAGTGTGTAGTAGAAATACATGTTTTTTTTAAGATTTATTCTACTATTTTGCTTGGGGCTGACCACGATATTTTATGCAATAGGCTCTTAAAAAGTTAAGCTTGTATCTATCAAAATGTAAGCAATCTTAAAATTAACCATAAGATTTTTTTTTTTCAAAATAAACTTACATAGCTTAACAAAATAAAAGTAAACTATTCAAAACTAAAATGAAATTCAATATAGATTTTAGCATGCAAATTCAATATGAAATGCAAATTCTCACTATAGATTTTAGTATGAAATTCGATATTTCACTTATTGCTTATCCATAGGAGGATGCCAATCAACCAACATCAAACTCAGTGTATTTAGCTAATAACTATTATGTGCATAGTCATGTGAGTCATATAAACATATAAATCCCTCATCTTAAGGACTAGATGGCAAAAAAAATAACATCATATGCATAGCCTTGTCAATCACATCGTATGGTGAGTTAGCATATATGCACCCTCAAAATCAGGCATCTTAGTTTAAGTGCTTAGGCTTTAAGTCCTCTTTCTTAAAATCAAAATAGAGCAACCTATATTACAAATGAATTGAGACTAATACTGCATTATTTTAAAGGCTCTTAGGTGGCTTTAGCTTGCTATCCATTCTAAACAAGATTGCAAGCCCAGAAATAGAGCTAACTTAATCTCAAGTAAGGTTTCAAGTTCTTACATCTCATGCTTTTCAATAGATTTTGGTTCGAATTTGATGAGGACATCGATCAGAGGTTCAAGCATGTGTATCGTCGGAGACAGCGCAGATCGACGGCTACGATTCAGAGTCTTTACTTTTGATGTACTTTAGGTTTTATTTAGTTTGCATTTCCGTTTCCTAGTTTACCCCTATGGGGAGTGTTGTCTTATTGTAGCCCAGAGGGCATTTGAGTACTTTTCATTTCTTTGTATTTGAGACCTATATATAGTGGTCTTATGCTTTGTAAAAGGGTAATGATTATTTGAATGAAAATTTCTATCTTGTTTCTTCTTCTTCTTGCATGAGAGCTAGAGAAGGGAGAGAGCTCAAGGGGAGCAATCGCAAGGCCCACCAGTCGTTGGAAAAGCCCGCGGCTCGTGGTTAAGTTTGTTTCCATTCTATCGATGCTTCCTTCATCCTCATCCAACATCAAATTCCCCTCCCGTTTATTCCCAATTCGAACCCTAATTACTCCCGCCGACCACCTAAGGGAATCAACCGCCGGCCTCTCCCTTAGCCGCCGGCCACCCCTCCTCCACCACCTCCTCCCCGACCACCCACCACCGGCCACTTCCCCCAATTCCCCCCACGTATTCAAATTTGAATTTCAAAATTGTTTAAGCTCCAAACTTTCCAAATTTGTCAAAACGTCATATTAGGAAAGTCTGAAATGCCATTCAATCTAATTTCAATTAGATTGGATAGCTTGATTGGATAGCTTTATTTTCACCATAAAGTGGAACTCTCTATTTTGGAAACTTTGTAACTCCCCACATCACCCTCTCCCCTCACACCATGCCGCCGGCCCCATGAGGGTTTTCCCTCCCCATTGATTGCTCCTTTAATGCCTCATCCGATTTGAAATTAAAAATTGATTTCGAAGAATTTTTCCCTCCCAATGTACTTAATCCTGAAATTAATTTTAGTTTTAAGTTTTAAACCTCCTCCCTCTCTCTCTATAAGCCGTCGGCCCCCCTCCTTGGCTCCCCCTCATTAATCCCCATTAAATGCCTTAATTCCTTGATTTGAAATTTAAAATTCAAATCAAATTTCCCTCCAAACTTAAT